CTGTGGTGAGAATTTTAATTCAGCCTATTCCACTTGATATCTATCGGATGATGCATGATTCCGCCAACTGTTGTATTATGCAGGATTGAAAACCCCCGTTCCTGCGTTTTTAAAACGCACCTGTGCTCTCGTATCTGCGACAGCGCATCGTAATTCTGGGATCGTCACCCAGTTTAGGAGAGATGACCTTTGCATATACGAATGGGGATGAATTCAGCTTCGATTAGCTTGCATTTGGAGGCACAGTGGATCAATGCAATTAGGTGCCGAGTGTGTGGATATTTCCCTCTGGATACTGAGATCCGCACTCGGAGATGAAAATGCGTGGAAGAGGGCGAAGTCTATCAGGTAACGTTGCAAAAGGCGAGAGAGGGGTGGATGTGGAAAACACCGACAAAACGATAACTAAATCTGAATATATTCGATGATTATAAAATGATATCAAATTCTTGATTTTTTCCCACAACAGAATTTGAGAACACGAGCTGGTTTGCCCGTTTGTCACGCCTGATTTTGTCCTTAACACCTGAGCCTGCCCTGTTAACACGCGTCCTGGCAATTATTGATGAAAAGATACATGCATACGTTGACTCCCATTCTCTTTCGATGCAAATTGGGGAAAAAACAATAAGGAACATGTTCTTTCTGCGCTGCAAAGCTTTTGTCTTCGATGGAGCGCAAGGCCTCAGGGCAATAAAAGCAGTTTGATTGTCTTTTCTTTCCCCCGTGCCTGACAGTGCAGGACGGCATAAGCTCCTCTTCGCCCCTGCCTCCAGGACAGGCCGGCGTCTCGGACCGCACGAGCCCAGCGGGGTCTCTGCGGCCCGGCTCCCTCGCTGCGCTCCAGTGATGAGAGCGAACAAGCTGCAGAGTAAAGGTCAACTAATCCCACTGAACTGGAAGCGTGTGTGTGTGTGTGTGTGTGTGTGTGTGTGTGTGTGTGTGTGTGTGTGTGTGTGTGGGGGGGTGGGCACTGGGGGGGCTGCTCTGTCAGGGCACGACTGGGGTACCGCTGCTGCCTTCAACAGTACTGCACCGGAAGGAAGGTGGGGTGATTTTGCACGATGGGGTTTTGTTATCGCCCGACCTGTCCAGGCTGCTTTCCAGACGGATTTTTAGCAAGGGCCTTTTAGTGCAACGTCACTGAAGTCTCAGACCTCTGCAAATCGCCCCGTTTGACCGGATGCGTGCAGTCTTTTTTTAAAATTCTTTTCATTTTCTTTCGGAGTCGGAAATCTGTAAAGGAAGAGATGGAGATGTGCTGACGGGTCTCTGCATGTTCTGGAGCTCATGCCAGCTGCGGTACAGAATCGACCCTGGTCTGGCACTGCAGTATCGTTTCGGTGACTGAAATTTCTGCTGGCCTGGAAGTGACCAAAATGGCCAATTCGGTGGCTTTTCTGTGTTCTCTTTCATGTACCTAAGAAGGTATGCGAGTAGAAAGAAAACCTCAGGCAGGGAAACCCAAGAAATCAAATTTCCAAAACGCAAGGGGCTCAAAGGGAAACATTGTTTGTCTGGAAAAAGTTAGGAGCACAGCCAAGTGATCTGGATTGATGTCTTAACACAAGGCCCCTTTGTAATATTCGCACTCCCTTTAAAAAAACACCCGATAGTAGTCCTTCATTCGCACTAATGATGATCTGCTGTCTCTGTACATCTAGCAAACCTTAATTGGTAAAAAAACAATTCATTAATTATTATATTCAATTAAGCAATTTGCAGTAACAGAACATGAGGGTTGGGATGACATTTTTATTGTATTTTTTTTTATCGTTGTTGTTGTTCTGTAAAGCGCTTTGAGAAGCCACCCTTAAAGGCACTAAATAAAATAACGTTTATTATTAGTATTATTATTATTTGAAAAAGGTAGATAAACCACACGGTCAGCGGCCCCAGCAGAACGAGCCCCTGCCTCTACAGGCCCAAGGAAGTCGGCTTCTTCTGAGGGCAGAGGAGCAGCAGGAGTGGAGTCTGCTTGCGGATTCTCTTCAGGTTGCTGCAGGTCGGGGGAGCGCTCCCGAATCCGTTAGTTATGAATGTCTCTTAACTAATGTTCTGGCACAAACAGACCCCAGCGGGCTCTTTCAGGAAGCAGGGGTTTGGGCGGCGGAGTAATCATTTTTATTCCGCTGATTCCTAAATAGAAATGGACATGTATGATAAAAATGTCAGCCCCACTCCACACGTCAGCTCCCTAACAGGATTACATGTCACTCGATAATGTCTCGCTCTGTTTTTCTTCGCCATGAATGGCTGCATTATTGCTCACAGGAACTTCTCTGTAATATATGGTAAGAGACAAGTAGCTCTTTATGGCCTGTGATTATTTGGTTTGAATGAAACCCGTGATTTATGTCCATTTAACTGAAAAGCTCTGTAAATTCCCACCGCTGCATTTTTCCTCAATAGAGAGCGAGTCAAGAGAAAGTGACAAGCCGGCTGGCCCGGACATGTGCAGCGCGGCTGGGTGTTAGATTTAATATACCTGACGCGAGGAACGTGCGCACGGCCGCCCAGCCACCTGGGGAGCTCCGGAGGAGGAAAGGCAGAGGGGCTAGCGCCCGCTCTCAGATTTTAATTCTATCACTCTTCTCTCGTTGACCATTTGGACTGTATACCCCCCCCCGGCTGCTGTATCGGCTGGTTTTCCACTGAAAGGCCTTCCTGCTATCGTCTCCTTCGTCCAAGATGGCCGACCAGCCTAGACGGGCTGGGCCCAGATACTTTTAACGTATTTAAAGCCTTGTGACGTGGGGATTTTTCATTTATTCTCGGAGAAGGCGGAAGTTGTGCCTCTCTCTCTTTGGCATTCTGAGCGCGCAGGGTGACCGGGCGATTCTCGCTTTTACAGGAGGCCGAAGTGCTCACCATGTCGTGTCGTGTGCGGATGCTGACATTTTCAACAGGGCTGGCCCCTCAGGTGGTTCTCTGACCAACCAGGTGATTCCAATGGTGCCGACTCTGCTCAACACCTGAAGCTGCGGCACTGCTCTGCTCTGGCGCCCTCTGCCCAGCAGGTCAAATACTCAGTGCCCCGGCACAGCCTCTCTGGTTGTAGGTTATTGCACAATAGAGCCAGTGCAGGTTCCTAACCTCATCTATAATTCATGGGCTCACCATATATTAATGACACCTTAATGAGCTGTTGAAAATCCCCTGAATTGCCGTCGGATTATCGAACTCAAACAGCCCTTGTAATCGGAGCGCGTGAGTGGGCGCGGGGTACTTTTCCGCGTCTGCCCCCTTTGTGTCCCCGCACAATGCGAGCTTATTTGGAAACGAGCTCTGTAATAATTTTGACCTGCAATTTATTTATTGGCCTCTCGCTGCGCCCGTTTTCGGCGCACGTTGACTCTGGCACTGTCTGCCTGGGCAGGTGCACTGTGCCTTGAAAGATGGCTAATTAGGGTTTGTTGAAAGATATGCAAAAAAAGAAATGCAGGGCCCGATAACAGAGCCAGAGGCAACGTTCAACAATGTAATAGTGTCTGTTTCTGGGGTTTTTCCTAAAGCACTGGCACAATGAACTGGATGTTGTGATTACCGACTGATTAAGATCTTTTTTGCAATGTGGATACCTTGTTTTCCTCTGCATGAATCTCTAGCAAGATACAGCCCCTGAGAATTAGTGCACATGGTAGGATTTTGACTGCAGATGCTGGTGTCTGACAGCTTGTGGGCCTTCAATGTCACCCCACACTGGAGGTACTCAGATCGTAGAAAATATCTCTGCTTGTAGTAATAACCTGCTGACAAAAGCAGTGCAAATAAATATTTTTCTCCCAGGGTCAGTCTTCAGAATCATTCAGGGCGACCTAATTGGGAAACACGTTGCATACGTGTGATCAGAAATGCAGCCAGACGTGACCCGGCGGGTGTATTCTGTGATCGGGTGAGGTCGGGCTTCGCGTGTTTCTCGCAAGAGCAAGTCGGGATGAAAACCACCTTCCTGGTAGAAATAAACTCCCCCAGCCGAGGCGGAACAAGAGGAATTCAGCTCCATCTCACCGCCGAGCTGCGAGGCACAGTGCAGAATAAAAACAACGTGGCGGATATTCTCTCTGGTTAGCATCCTCTCAGAAAATAGAAATGCCACATCTTAGCTGAACATTTGGCAGCTTATAGATGTTGCTGTCATGTAAGCCTGTGTGTGTACACACGGTGTGCACTGCACTGTGTAAATACACACAGGCTCCGCGCTGGCGACAGGAACGCGGCGGCGAGACGCGAGGTGCCAGCTCTGTGCCCGCGGGGGCCGTGTCTAACCGGAGGGGGCACGCCTGATTTCGAGTCGCTGCAGAGATGTTAATTGGGACGGGTGTGTATGAGCGTGTTACGAGTAGAATACTTTCACTCCAAAGGCAAGTGCAGAGCTCTCCTAAACCTCGCACAGTGCCGCCCCCAGAATCAATTGGTCGCTGGAATACTGCACTTCACTTCTTCAGTGAGGCGTCCTTTTATGGTCATGTGCTCTGATGCGTGGCTCAGAGGTGCCTGAAGGAGGGGGGGGGGGGGCATTTTTATTGGGCTTCTGGTCATTTCACTCAGGCTGGCTTGGTGCCATTGTGAGAAACAAACACAAAATAACAGGTCCGGGATAATCCAACGGCACTGATGCCAAGCTGCCGTGTTTAACAGAAACATCAGCCCTGGCAGTCTTATAAATCCTTACCACGGTATGGCACAGTACAACACTAAGTGGTACCGGTGACATGCCAGGGATGAGGTTACTGAGTCAAGGGAGCAGCAGGGAAATACTGTGAAATCGCCAAGCGGCTTTACACGGAGGAAAGCGTTTGGCGGGGTTGGTTCCTAATTTGCCACGCAAGGTATTGAAGCTGTGTTGGGGAATGACATGAGCAAGATGCGCTTTCGGCTCCGAACCCTGGGGCCGGGTTTTCTCTGTGTGTGCGGTGGGTTGGGCTCTGCCCACAAGGGGGCGCTGCCGAGCCCCCTCCCTCCCCTCACGCCCGCGTCTCTTTCTGGTTGCCTTGCAGGCCTCAGCATCCGGGGGGCCCAGGAGGAGGACCCCCCAGACCCCCAGCTGATGCGGCTGGACAACATGCTGCTGGCCGAGGGCGTGTCGGGGCCGGAGAAGGGGGGCGGGTCCGCGGCCGCCGCCGCCGCCGCCGCCGCCTCGGGGGGCACTGCCGACAACTCCATCGAGCACTCCGACTACAGGGCCAAGCTCACGCAGATCCGGCAGATCTACCACACCGAGCTGGAGAAGTACGAGCAGGTGAGAGCTACCGCCGCCAGACTCCCACATACAGGGGCTTCCCCTGTAACGACACGGTAGTTACCTAGGAACACCCAGATACAAGTGTCATAGACCAGTTATTATCGTGTTATTACAAGAAATTTTCACATCATCTTTTTTTATGATACCTAGATTCCAGTGTCGCTACAAGACAAGCTCTTGAGGCCCTGGCTACCTGGAATATTAGCCGTCTTCTGGAGTTCAGGGCAGTGTTTCATGGCAGGGAGGCGCATTTCCCTGTGACAGCTCCGCCTGGAGCCTATTTTTAGGGATAATCCCTGGGTGGAGACGGATAGGTGCCTGATGCACGAGGCTGGATACCTCGGTGGTGTAAAATGCTTCATTAAAATTCAGCCAAGGGAATAAGAGTGCTCAAAATTATCCTCAGGTCTGCTCAGATAGTGAAACAGCAAAGAGGGTTTTTGAGTGCTCATGTAAACAACGATAGATCTCCCATCTTCCGAGTCTGAACGCGACAGATTTATGGAATATACCATTTTCTCTAATTCATTTTTTTCCCGTCTATGAAATCTTTAAACACATAATCAAAGTTGCTGATCCTAACACATTAAGAAAAAAAAAACGAAACAGGCTGCGCATTAAATTTCACAAGTACAGGCTTTGGGTTTTAATGTTTAAATTCTGACTAACTTGTTTTTCTCCAAACGGCCACTGGTTTTATAAAGCCACGTGCATTTCTGAATGAAAAAGCCTAATGTATTTGAACGGATTCTTTTAAATGTGGGTCATCAGCAAAAAAGTGTTGATTCCCTGCAAAAGAACAAAATAAGCTCACCAGTCGACTCTCATTAACACAGAGTGGAAATTCAGATGATGTTCTGTAAATTAATAAATGCATTTGATTTAATAGTAGGCAATGCCAGCTCAGAAAAAAAATTATGTAAAATGTGAGCAAGTCAAAAAACCCAAACCACAAATCAGCTCTAGCGGTGAAACCAAATGTGATTAAGGTTAGAAGTATTGGATTAATTTCTAAATGTCTTTAAAATCCATTATAAATGCAATATGGGTTCAAAGTTCGCATTAGACATATTGATCTGTCTTTTCAGTATTAATGAGACACAGTGTATAGCACCTGTCATGCTTAGCTCATCTGAAAGCTCGTTTAATGGCCTTAATACAGTTTCTCTGCAAACTCATTAAAATTGCTTTTATGGCTTTTGCAAGTAAATGAAAATTAAATTAGTGGATCATTGTACATTGATAAAAATGCACAATAAAGGAAATGACATGGAGGGGTATAAATAAAGTTAATAATACAAACTACGAGGGTGAGATAACCCTGCACACCCATACCCAGGCATGAGGACGCAGCACACACAGGACAGGCTGTGCTGACCAGCCCTCAGAGCAACTAGTGTATTACGAATTCCAGTTGTCTCCCTTCCCTTCACACTGCATAGTGAAGAGAAACATGCTCTCCTCTCGGGTGCAAGAGTGTCTTCAGGGTGAATGCAGATGCATTAAATAAGATGATGGAAAAAAAGATATTTGAATGAATTTAAAGTTTTGCATACAAACAGGAAGCGTGGATAAATATGCCCGAACTCCGACTTCAGTTGTGACGAACGGTCAGAGAGCTCTGGTCCAGCTCTGATGGCACTAACACAGCAAACTAAAGCAGGCAGGCTTGTAAATTAGACTAATTTACTTCTTGTGCTCTAGAAAAAAAAATACACTTTGCCTGGAGTGAATGCATCTTTCTTAAGGGTGTATCCAGATTTTAATTATCTAAATGTAAATACTTAACGAATTTTACTTAGAGTAATGAGCTAAAGTGTGCACTACATAAATGAGATGTTCTAATTAATCATGTATGAACTACTGGTTTAACGAAAAGCTGTTTAAATTCTCTGAATGCTGGGCTAATGCCAAATTGCAAATCGGCATTTGCATTCATAGATGACTTTGCCTATTAAGTTGTGAAATGTTAAGCAGTCGCAGAAATCCAGGGATGTGTCGGTTTGTGTTTTTGTAGAGGCAGGGGGCTTCTGCAGTGCGCAGCATCACACTGAGTACAAACACAGATGGGGCCAGCAGAACAAGGAAATCACACACTGAGTTTATCATTAAGGCTCTCTGGTTATTTCCATCCTTCCACCACACTGATTCAGGACACCAATTAAACCCCCCAAAAACACAGGCGTGCATTTGAGCATTAGGGCTGCCGTAATTTTTTTGTGCGGACGTGGTGCTTGAATGCACAGCGGCGCTTAATATAAATATTGCGCCACTGGACCGAACGCGTGGAAAGGCATCATCGCTATATTTTATTTTTAATGGGTTCATTTGCTCTGATGTCCCTCCACCAGTAGGCCCTTGGTTTGCGCTGTTTTTATGCCGAACGATTTATTTTTGTGCACGCCCTCAGCGTGGAGTATCTACTGTTCCTGTTCGAGAATGCAAACGCAGAACCTCTCGGCGGCGGGGCCCCAGGGCCACAGGTAGCAGATCTCTGCCGACACGCTGAGATTTTGACACCCGGGGCCGGCCAGTGGCCGACAAGCAGCTCCAATCCGGCAGCTCGGCCTCTCCTCTCCGCCGGCCCGCGCCACCAGAAGTCTGACGTGTTTGCACTGTGCTGCTTGTCGCCCCCCCCCCCTGCAGGCTTGCAACGAGTTCACCACCCACGTGATGAACCTGCTGCGGGAGCAGTCGCGCACCCGGCCCATCTCGCCCAAGGAGATCGAGCGCATGGTGGGCATCATCCACCGCAAGTTCAGCTCCATCCAGATGCAGCTGAAGCAGAGCACCTGCGAGGCCGTGATGATCCTGCGCTCCCGCTTCCTGGACGCCAGGTGCGCTCTCCCCCCGCGCCTCCTCGCGCCCGGCCGCGCAACACCAGAGGGCAAAGACGCGACACCGTGAGACTCTGCCGTGGCGCATTTGGCCCGCCCTGGCGCGAGCGGGCCCCCCCCCGAGCCCCTCGCCCGTGATCCGTGTCTCCGCTGCCACGGTCAGGCTTGGGGCCGGTCTGGCCACGGCGGGCGGCGCTGCACAGGAAGCAGAGCTCTACCCCGGCGGGCGCATGTCTAAATGTGTGGTTGGCTTGAGGGTTTGGACTGGGGTCCCCCCGAAGAGTTGCCTGTCCTGGCCCTGCCCGGGTTACTGTACGCCAGCCTGGATCTATGGGGTTTCAGTTTCCTGTACTCCATGGTAATGCACACTGCCTGACATGACAGTAATTAACTAAAGGGAACTGTAGTTAAGTATCCATGTGGGCACATGTGTGCACCACTGAGTGGGGAGAGAATACATTTTGGTTTTAGTGAGCCCAAGTAAGAAGCGACCACATTTTAGAAGCCTCGCATATAGCCAACTACGACAACATGATTATCTCACACCGCTATTAGGGAGTGCAAGAAGAAGTGAGCCATTCTAGACTCCACCTTGGCACAAGCATTTAAGTGGCTTATCGACCACAAGCCTCTTGAACGAACGTGTGTCGGTGTGTGCGTGTGCAGGGCTCAGCAGACACGGGTGTGAAAAGCTCACCCCTCGACTGCAGTACAGTAGGTGTTTTTGCGCTTGCTGCTTATCCAACAAATTGCCGGCTTGCACAGATCTTTCAGGAGACCAGTGGGGTACAGTGTCTTTCATTCTGAAAAGCACTTTGGTGTGAAGTAGACTGAAACAGCAGGCAGAAATTTGATTAGTGGTGCTGCATAGGCACAAATTATCACTAAAGCGATGATTAGTGGAGTAATTCTTTATTATTAACGGGGGGACTTATCCAGGATCTAAAAAAATGCATTAAAAATAAAAAAAAAGAATTTCCCACCATGCCAATTCTCGCTTGCGGAGGAAGGGAAAAGCCCGCGTATTAAAACTGGGCTTTCCTCGGCGCGTCTAGAGCTAGGGTTGTACAGGATGGCGGCCCACAGGACTGAGATGCACGTGTGTTTGTACGGCCCACAACACCAGCGGCCCGGGCTGGAGAGACTCCAGCCAGCAAGAGCGCCTCGGCGTGGTCGTGCTCGACAAAGCTCATCACACTTAGCGGCGCCGCCTTCGTTAAGTCAATCTAGCCGCGCACCTGAAAGCAGTTAAAGTCAAAATGAGCTAAGAATGAAGTAATTTCGGCAGGAAGAAGGTCATCCGCAGGTGCGCTGGATTACAGTAATTACAAACAGTTGGTGGATGTCTTTGGAGAGCTCTAGCAACTTTCTGAAAGGTAAATCGGGCAGAAGCACATTTGGAGCACATTATTCGCGTGAGGGAAGGTAAACAAGGCAAAATAAGCGAACGCTCAATAACAAGATAAGTAGAGCTCTGGGGAAGGAGCCAGACCAGCCCCTAGTTAGTGTAGTTAGTAACAATGGGGCACTCTGGGGATCGGGTGCGCTGGGAGCAGTGCTCAGCTGTGCGTGGAGTAATTTCTATAATGCACCAAGATGCCCCCCCCCGCCCCCCAGCAGGCCTGCTACAGCTCCATCGACACGCCTCAGATCGCGCCGACTGGCTGCAGCTCCGCAGGAGGACTGCGGGAGCCGAGCCCGATGCTCTGCGGTCAGCTGTCGACCCCCAGCTGGGCTTGCTGGACACTGACCAGCTCAGCTGGGGCGCTGCAAAAAAAACAAAAGCACTTTGCAGGTGCAGAAAGGGGATCTTGACCGCGGCCTTCCTTCATTGTTATCATGCGATGAGGCAGCAGGTCGTGCTAGAAAAGGGAATATCAATCCTAAACTTTGGCTTTATCACACAAAAAGGTTTTTATTCAGACCCGTAAACCTAGAGCATCACCATTAAAGATGTGCCAATTTGTATAAGCAAAAGCATAGATCTGGTCATTGATCAATCTTTCCGGTTTCCTGTAGCTAATATCCCAGGCCTCTGTTTTATGTGGGGTTTTCTTCTGTTCAGACGGAAAAGACGGAACTTCAGCAAGCAGGCGACGGAAATCTTGAACGAGTATTTCTACTCCCACCTCAGCAACCCGTACCCCAGCGAAGAAGCCAAAGAGGAGCTGGCCAAGAAGTGCAGCATCACAGTGTCACAGGTAGGCGGCGCCACCCTGGGTTGACCCAGAGAACCTGGCTATTGGGCTTCGGCGTCAGGAGGGCAGGAGGTGGGCCCGCAGGCAGGACCGCTTCACGACTCGCCCCGGGGCAGCCGTGCAGAGCAGGGGGCGAGCCGTGGTCCAAGAGAGAGACCTACAGACGCGCTGGGGCCCCCCTGCCTTTCCTCTCCATCCCACCTGCCGCCATTTTGCTCGTTTTCCTTCAGCCGAGTCCAAGAAGCACAGTTTTATGACATGCAAAATCTTTCTTTTGGAAAGTAGACAGAAGCCAAGAATGTTAAGGCCGTGTAGCTTGCTAAGGGGGCTCTGCTCCCTAGACCCAAGACCCCTTATGTAGTTGCTCATGGAGCTTCACCCGTGGGGGGGTGTATGGGCTGGGGGCCTCACACAGTCGCCCAGGGCGGGGGATGTGAACTTTAAGGTGAGCAAGTCCTTTCCCCAGCACGAGGAACCTCCACTCGCTTGTTGCTGCAGGAAGCGCATAGCCACTGTTCTTCTCCACGGAGAGTCTGGGCCCCAGAGCTATGAGGTCTTCTTTCGCGTCACTGGAAATTTCCTCGTGTGGCCAGGGGACATTTCCAGGATGCTGGGCCTTTCATGACAATTGACATTCAGAGACAGTGCTTTCCCTCCACCGCCAGGCCAATTGGAGAAAAAAACCCAAACTGTAACGAAAACGATCAAGTAGCTGATGCAGGAAAACCAGCTGAATTTCGGGGGACACAGGTCAAGCACGACGTGTCCCCCTAGATATCCTCAACGGCCAGCAGCTGGGCTCTTGCCTCCATGCTGGTCCTGAATGGCACCAGCACCTCTCTTGCCTGTGCCACCCCTCCCTCCAGGCATCACACAGGGAGCCTTCTGATCACCTTAAACTACTCAGGCTCCAAGCCAAAATAAAAGGGGCAGCCCTGACGCAGAGCCCTCTGCCCTGGGCGAGACCCGCAGCGGGCCGTCACTCAGAAGACAGATCCTCCAGTTCTGTCGGAAAACCGGACCCCGGCTCTGTGCTCTGGGGGCTCTGGGGCGTGCCCATATTAAAGTGGCAGGCCTCTGTGTGGCACTTCTGCAAAGGAAAGCAGAGGTGATGCTGTCCGTGGGCGCTGCAGCTCACAATGCCTGTATCTAGGAGATGAAAGATGAAAACCTCCATTCAGGTTGAAATGTTTGTCTTTGTCTGTGGGGAGGGGGTGTGGAGGGGACTGGAGAGTCAGATACTGTAAAAGCCGTTCTTTTTTGCCTTCAGGGGTTGGGAAGCACCATCACAGTATCACAGGTATGTCATGCGCCTCCTGATCTGCTGTTGTTTCATATGTATGTATGTGCACCTACGCGATTTCCTGGAGACTCCTGGAGCAGAGCAGTGGCCACGAGCAAGCAGCTCAAGGCAGGGTGTGTCTGCACATGCCCACAGCTCTGGGCTTTGCTGCAGATAAAGCATTCTGCGAACAAGACATGGTAAACCCCAGCCAGTTCATGTAGCGTTACGTGGCCCTGAAAACCCCCCTTTTAATGTTTCAGCAGCAGTTTTATTTCCACTCTCCTCCTTTGATAAGTCCGTTTCATACAGTGTCTCACAAATTCTTCCCACTGTGGCGTCAGACGATGTGCTTTGCTTTCTAGCTGTGACCCCGAATAAGAAAACACCCTTTTCTTATTCACGAAATGTATGCTTGTGGATTTACCTGCTCATTGTTTTAAACATTGGTTAACCCTGCCTATCCGTGATGCGATAAATACACTTCAGGGTTCATCTCCTGTTCTTGAAGGTTGCTGGTGAGACAGGGGACAGGGTGTTCCGGATGTGGAATACACTCTGAGACTTTGAGGGTTCACACAGGCCCCAGAAGCACTGATCCAGAGCTCCTGTGACATGAGCTGTTTTTCTCTCTGCATTCATTTAAGACCTCCTTAGCAATCTGTGTACACACCTTGTGTTCCTCCAGTGGAGGTTTGCTTAACGAAGGCCGTGTGATGAACTCAGGTGCTTAACGAAGGCCGCGGATGCAGCTCTCCAGTTGAGCGAAGTGCTTAATGCCTGAGAACTGTATGGCTTCATCCTTGGAAATCCAGCTCATCGGAGGAAATTAGAAATAAACACAAATTGGAGAACGGGAGATAATATCCTTATTCTGGCTTGCAGGATCCCAATTTCTAATTTTCCAGTGTACCACACTGGGCTGAATTCCCAATCTGAAATATGGAATAATGTGAAATATCCGGATATTTGCATGCATGAATTCTGGGAAAGGGCTCAAGGAGATTTAGTACAGCACACGGCAGATCGGAAGGAAACCATTGCAAAGAAAATTGCACACTAAAGTGTGACAAAGCCTCGGGAAACCCGCTGTGTAAGTTGCTCCTGGCAAATATTCAGAAGGTTGAAATCCTGAAATTGTCTTTGCAGGAGAAGAGCTGCAGGCTTTGCAACTGTTGCGGCCTTGCTGTTTGGGTGGTTCACTCAGGTGTCAAGTGCGTTCTCACAGGCTGTGTTCAAGAGGCTCAGCTGGCAACTGCAGAACAGGCAGCGGTAGCCGCTGTGATGTTTCCTTTTATGCAGCATGATGAAAAAGTCACTTTCATGTCCTAGCCAGGAAAACAGAAAAAAAACCCCGGCTTGTTTTCCCTCTGGTTGGAGCCAGCCAGGACACACTGAAGGCACGCAGATCAGCTGTCAGAGAGGCAGGCAGTGCAGGATTCCCTTAATAAGGCCTTGCTCTCTTCGGCGCCGTCGCCACCATTGCTGATCGGAGAGAAGCTAATGGTGTTGATCGTGCAGTTTCTGCACTTCATCAGACAATTGTGCGGCAAGTGTCTCACACAGCCTTATTATTTCACTGGCTCAACTCCGACGTGTGACATTAAATAAACAAACACAGGCGCCCTGTTTGGGCCAGCGGTTTCCGTCAGTGTTTATGTGAGAATTGATATAATCTCACAAAGCCGGACTGCGAGTCGCTCGGTTTATGTACGCGCGTGCTTCCCCGGCTGTGTTATTAAAATGCCGGGGCGGTGAGAATTTAAAGGCAGACTTTGAATTATCTCCTAGATTGTGACTCCTCTGCTCTGATCACTAACAGTTCAAATGAATGGCGCTTATCAATATTTTAAGTCATGATATATTTAGAGGAACGATGCCTGAGGTTAATGTGTTAAGTATTAATGAATTCTACTCTATTATTGATAATATTAGCAGCAAGGCTTCTGAAACAACCTTTGGCAGTATAATTAAGACCTGGTTTGAGGTTTCATTAAGGGGTCTCCAAGGCAGACGTTATTAATCCAGTGGTATTGAGAGCACGGAAGGAAATCCATTCACCTTAAATGACAACAGAAGTCAATTGACCTGGGATGAGGTGGGAAAGCTGGTGAATTATTAAGTGCGGCAATATGGCCATTTCCAGTGACAGAGAGAATAAACTTGGCGTCGAGTTCCTTTCCCCAGCAATGCATTGTTTTTCCAAGCCCTCACCCAGGGCTGTGCTGTCGAGGTACAGACATGTCACTTCAGCTCTCTGCCCGGTTTTGTCTCACACAGCACAGGGGATTTTAATGCGCTTGCTGGTGCAAAAGACGTGCTGTTAAAATCCCTGTATGTTTCCCCTTCTCTTACGGCTTTTTTACATTTATAGACCCCTTTTTATTAACCCGTGTGAGCACTAAGTGCTGAGCTTTATCATGAGGAGAGCTTATTCTCTGAAACGGGTGGTATGCGGGCTAGCTTGCAACACCATGTAGTGGCTAAAAAGAGGCATAACAGCCCCCATGAATATTAATGGCTAAAAAGACTCACACTGACTGTTGCCAGTCAGTCCCCGCAGAAATCTGTAGTAACACATCCTAAATTCTGTGTACAGATAAAAAGCTTGTTTTCTGCAGAGATGCTGTCAAATTCTGTGGCGATGGCTTTTTAATTAAAAACACTGTCAGATTTATTAAATAAGAAAATGTGAGTCGTAGTCAGTTTAATTAAATCATGGTACTAAATTCTTATGGCCCTGAATAAACACGATGCTGCGTCATTTTCCTTGGCAATTAAAAGGAGGGAAAAAACCACGCAAGTGTGAAATATTTTTGGATGAACTCCACACTTCGGTTTTACTCTTCAAATCCCTCCTCGGCGCAAACTTCAAACTCCATATTCAGAAGTCGAATAAATGTTATTCCTGTGCAGTAAGCGCAGGGCTCATTCACAGTACATACTGGTACCACAAAAAAAAAAAA